TTTTTTCTTAAAGTATAAAGTAATTGTATATCCAAATATTTAATAGAATTATTGGAAAGAAATTTGTAAGAAAATGTGTTTCGTAAGATGTAAAAAAAGTTATTTGGATTTTTGACGAATTGTATAACAAGTGTTTTAAGTTGGTATTAAATTATAAATTTTAGTGTGTTATATTAGATGTTGTCATTTCTGAAGTAATTAGTGAGTTAGAAATGAATTATTTGGTACGATAAGATATAGATATCTGTAATGTATGATTTTTTGTTGTATGAAATGTGTATTAAGTGAGTTTGAAAGTTGTTATGAAATAAGTTGTCTTAATAATATATGTATGAAATATATATTAAGAAAGTATGAAATTTGTATGAAAGCGTGTCCAGTAATCTAAAAAAAAGTTATTTGAAATTTTGACCAATTGTATGATAAGTGTTTTAAGGTTGTATTAATTTTGAAATTTTATTGTTGACATTTTTGTATAAATTTGTGTTACATTAATGAAGTATTTTCGTAAAATAATGTACATATTTGATGTATGAAATTTGTATTAAAATAGTATGAAAGTATTTGGAATGTACTATTTGAATGGTATTTGTATGAAATGTTTTTTGATTGAATATAAAAATTGTTTTGTAATGTTCTGTCTGTCTGAATGATATTTGTATTTTGAATTGTTTGTTTATAATGTGAGACTAATTTTTATTTTTTTTAATTGAAACAGGGAATTATGTCGATTTTCAAATGGAGGGGGTTATATACGATTCTTCTAGTCTTTATAGTGGTCTAGTAAGTGCGATAACATCGCAGCTTATGATGATACTAATATAAAATGATTTAGAGATATTAAGTGGGTATGAAATCTGTTTTGAGAGTACTGTCTGAATGATATTTGTATGAAAATATAATATAAAATGTGTATAATTTTGTTATTATAATGAATTTTGTGGATGAAATTTGTATGTTCTTTGGATGACTAATTGTTTTTTTTTTTTAATGAAACAGGGAAATATGTTGATTTTCAGATGGAGGGGATTATATATGAATGTTCTAGTCTTTATAGTGGTCTAGTAAGTGCGATAACATCGCAGCTTATGATAGATGGTGATATTAATGATATAGAGATAAAATATATATTTAAAAAATCATTAAGTAGTCCACATTTAAGACCAGTTATCGCTGCGAATTCTTCGATTCCAAAACGTAATTCTATACCATTTATTTTCACAACAAACATGTCGTCTCTGACATTTTCAGATTCAAGAATCATTAAATGCCGCAATATTTGACATTGAATCTTTATGTTGTGCATGTCATAAAATACACGAAAAGGTGTTTGTTCCAGAAATTGTTGAAACTTCTCTTGCTCAAGGAAAACCAACAGATCAGCAAATACATTCATGTTTGTACATGAAGACCAGTGTGTGTATCTTCCTTGCCTATAACATAAAATTATTTATACTAAATTAAAACATACTTCATACAAGTATTATTCAAGTTTCATTCCAGTTGTAACTACAGTTTAAAGATAGTTATAATTAAATTATATCATATAAATTAAATAAAAAATAAATCAAAATCATAAAAACATTGATAAAAAAAATATAAAAGTATGTTCATACAAGTATTATTCATGTTTCATACACATGCATATAGATAAATTTTAGTAATGCCTTGTACCATATTTATAAAAAAATTCACACCAATTTTATTCAAACATCATACCATTTT